GCTTTTCAAAGCTCGACTGCATGGAATAGACACGTTATCCATCAAACGCAGAAGAAAATCATCTTCTTCGTGTGCTCTTCGCACGCCGTCGAGCAAATTCGACGACGAAACTCACTGATAGTGTTGCAACAGTGTAATCGTCCCTACTTTTGGACTGCCTAGCCGACTCGAATGTAGATAGGCGAGAAAGAGCATCAGCGACGACGTAAAATTGTTATGTTCTGAACTCGACGGAGAAGTTGTACTCCGCGAAGAAATATAGCCACCTCGCCATCCTATCCAGAGTTGTGGACTGTTTACGGCCGTGCGTAGTGACGCATGGTCCGTAAAGACTGCAAATGGCCAATCTCATAAGAAATAGACGCGGACTTTGTCAGTGCATGTTTCATGTCCAGAAGTTCCTTGTCATGCACTGGTTAATTAAGCTCAGCTACTTGCAGCTGACGCTATTGAAAACAGAAGACGCACTCAACGCCGTCTGAGTCGTACTAACGCACAGACGATTACAAAAACAAAATTGCTGGAGTCACAGACCACGCACGTAGAATGGTCTGCCTTGGTCTGCAATCGCTATCACATACGAATGTGTCAAGCATTTCTCGATACCTTTAATCGAAGTCTGACACTCAGCACTCCATGACCACCTCCCCTTTTTCTTTAAGAGACGAGATAGATGCACGGTCATCCCGGCGTAGTTGCGCGAGTGCTTGTGTAAGCATCCCGCCAAGTCAATGACCTTTCAAATTCCCTTGACGTCGACTGGCACAGGCCAGTCGCTGATCGCCTTGACCTTTTCCGGATCAGGGCGTACACCTTTTTTACCCACGATGCAGCAGAGAATGGTATTTCATTCGCTGCGAATATACACTTCTTGAGGTTCGCGAACAACTTATGCTCTCGCAAAATCGTAAGAACCTTCCGGACGTGGATTATGTGAGCCTCCACGTCCGTCTTTAAATCCGTAGCCCGGCTAGGGCTGAAGGCATCGTCAAAGTAACTCGGTGCGAAATCGCGCACCGATCACAACAGATCGTAACACATCTGTTGAACGTTTCGGGGCGTTACTTAGCCCCTGTGGTATTACCAGCCACTCCTAGAGCATACCACTGAAGGCGCTCACTGCTATGTACGGGATGTCCCGTTCACGCACAAGGATCGAGAGATCTGATAGAAATTTTCCATCAGATCCATGGAAGAAAAGATGGTACTTTTCGACATACCATCAATGATGACGTCCTTTCCTGGTAATCGGAGTTTGAGCCGGTAATGTTACAGCAGTCAATTTGTTAAGCGCGTGCACTGTCCTCCACCCTCCTGTGGCCTTTCGCACACCGAAGGTCGGAGAGCTGTGTGGGGGTATTGAATCCCTCACATGACCAGCCGCTAATCGATCGGCAAAGAATTTGTCGATCGCTGTTACCCGTTCACGAGTCAGTGGCCAATGCTTCATGACACAGTATTTCGGACAGGTTTTAGTTCGATCTCATGCCGAGTTCTTTTGTCTTTGGGCAGCTCGCATGGCACAAACTCCGGTAAAACATCCCTGAATTCCACCAAATCCTTGTGCAAAGGATTTGTCTTTCAAGAATTTCCAGATTGAGACGTGTATCGCTCAATCCGGGTCTTCTCATCGAGGACACTTTCGTCCATCGATGAACTACTGATAACCCGTTCGTTCTCAGCAAACACTTGTGCCGACCGAATACAAACGACGTACTCTTAATCTATGACGAGTACGCAGATCTGCTCGATCTTGTCACTACGCAGATCTCGCAAGAATCTTTTGAATCCTAGCTTTTGTAACTTGTTAAACTCCAAGCTGACTTCGTAGGTGTAACCAGATCAAGAGTATAAGCGCCTACACCTGATCCTTCATTCACCAAGACATCCACTGTCTCGGTGCCTTTCTTAGAAAACACATCTGCTGGTTGAAAGAGATCTACACCCACAACACAACTTTCCCGGGAGTTATCACTCTCAGGAACGCTGGAGCTTTCTTCCGAATACGTGTTCCTGCTGTGGGCGCACTACCACAGTCATGTCCTCTTCGATCGACTCTCTTCAGTCTATCGGGCTTGCTCTACGATCGACTCTCTGATATTCGATCTTGCTTCAACGTGTTGTTCATCTTGAACAACACTCATCTATCTTCTCGGATGCACCTTTCTTGGTGTGCATCCATGTTCCAGTCCACTCGACCTCTTCGACTGGCCTTCGGCACAGCCTTTGTCTCTACACAGGTGCCGAAAGCTGGTTCCACAGTGTAGTGGCGTTCTACACTGTGATCTTGTGCAGTCGTACTAACGACCGCACCACAAGTGATGCCATCGCACTCACTCGTAGTACATCCACACGCTTGTGGACGCTCCAAGACGTTCATCAGATGGCCACCTGCTGATGAAAAGGCGGGCATCTTCATGGATCGATGCTGCCAGCCGATCCACGGCTGGTACTTTCTAATCCATGGCAGACCGAAGATGACATCAGATTGTCATCCAGATCCAGTACGATGAAGTCATCATCGTACTGCTTTCATTTTAGCGTGTAGTGGATTCCCACTACACGTTTGTTCACTGTTACGAATGCGCCTGTAGCATGACACACCGTCATCCTCGTTGGAGGGAACCCTCGCTCAACATAGTTGAGACTACTATTCTTTAGCGACTGGCGTCGAACAAAGCTGTTCGACGCACCACAGTCAACTAGGATGCGAAGTGACATTCCGCTTGTCACTTTGATCTTCAAAGTGATGAGAGACTCCTCATCACTAAGGGCAGTAAAACACAGCGATTGTGTGTTGGGAGCAATCTTCGCCAAGAGTCCTGCAAATTCTCTTACCCTCTCTAGATCAGCAGGGTGCTCCGCCCCTATTGACCCTGACCGTTTTTTGGCGGTCCGACTTGCTGTCGCGGCTTAGCGACATGGTTGGACCCACGCATTAAACATTTCCTTGGCCAACGGTGGTCATCACGACCTGTCTTTGGACGTAATGCGGTGCTGGGGACACTACGCTCATTAGCGTAGTGTCCAATCTTCTGAAAGAGATGGCATCTTGCCGATGGCTTGTGACTCAGAGCGAGAGAGTTTTCGCTCTCGATACAACAGAGGTCCATTGGTTCGGGACCTCCTGTTTCCTGTCGCCTCGTCGGACGATAATTGGACGAGTTAGCCTGAGACTGTATCAGGCTAAAGTCTTCTTGTTTTGCATAAGCTCCCTCTTTTTCCAGCGCATGGAAGTCCTCTCGGAACATGTAGGTCTTTACCGGTCCATCTACAAGACCTTAGATGAAAACGTGGATGAGTGTGCTCATCAACAGGGTATTCCGTGACACTACTCGCAATGTAGCGTAAGTGTTGTGAATAAGCGTGCACATCACGCTTACCCTTCTTAAGCCTCAGGAGTCAGAGCGTGCTCTGAACTCGGCTTTGGACAGCTCACTCTTTTTTCTAATCCGCGACTTTAAGGTCTAAAACGACTCGAACACGTTCGGGTCGTGAAGCTTGAGCCCTAAGGACCAAGTCTTTGCTCGCCCTGTCAAATTTGACAGGGCGAAGGTGACTTGCATCTCGACACTTAGGATGTGGAGGGCCCAGATGGCGTCTAAATCGACGAACCATCTCAAAAGGGAATCTTCATCGGTTCCCTTGTACCTAGATATAAATATCTTCAAGGTTTCGGGTTGACGCGTGTGCGTCGGTCTGCCCATCGACTGATGGTAGCCTTGCCGGTGAAGCAAGGCTATCTTCTGTCTTTCGACGGCAAGTTCCCTTTGTAGGAACTTGTTGATAGTGGCGTGTTGCTGGTCTCGGTGTAAAAAATCCAACATGCCATTGATGGCGGGTTTGCCCATAAGCACACTCATGCGGCCAACTACCTCCCATTCTGAGTCACTCAGACGGGAGTAGCCTTCACGTGTGACGTGAAAGCTGTCATCTCCAACGTTCAACATGTTTATGTTGAAAAAACACTAAGCAGTCGTTGGACGGAACAACAAGTACTACCAGGTGTAACGAACGGGGCACCCTTTGTTTGGGGTGCCACGAAACTTCACCTACATTTGTACATGCAGAGGAAGCTAGTCTACTCAAACTGCTAGTTTGAGTAAAGGTAAAAAAAAGAATTGTGTTTAATATAGTTAAGCTATAAATATAACTTTAATCTAACTAAATGAAGCTACATTTTAGTATGATGACAACCTGCTCGCCACTCATTACGCGCGTCTAGCAGCGATTGGTGGTAGTCTATGGTTGGTATGTCTTTATCAACCAATCTTTGAGCAGCGAATGAATACTATCCTACAAAGGGGATAATATTCCTTCAATATTATCCATCTCGAAAAACATTGGCAGGAAATTGCCACACTGGATAATCTCCCTATTGACACCGTTTGGTGTCAGTATCATGTAACGGGCTACCCCATTACATAGCTGTTTGCACCACATTGGTATTGAGGTGTACACGTAGTCACACAATGGCTGGGACATGATGTGAACGCACGCTTTTGATTGTCCTATAAATCGACCAGAGGTTGAATATGATCACATAAGGAAATGCTGGCTGCTCGTACGCAAAGGCCAATCGCGTTGACACAGCCAACTGTACTAGGTCAATATAGACATCAACAGCATCATGCTCATTCTTCAGTGATCACTGCTGCATAGTATTTTGCAACTTGATTCAGTTCTATGGACTGAACAACTTGTATGATGGGCTAGCTCCAGAGCTTGCTCCCCTATCTTTATTCATCATTCTTTCTACTTCACATGTATCGTGTTTGCAACTATTCCCCTTCATTGTCACTATCGTGAGTGCTTACAAAGGAGAGCTCGGACGTTAACCCCGTCGCGTTGTACCTCGTCATTTCAATTGGTCGAAATAAGTTACTGCTGCATTCTTTATCAGCATACTGTAGCTACATTTGTGCACAGTATGGCTCATTTTATCGCCAAATCAGACGTCGGTCTCAGTATCCAACTGGAAGAAAAGCGCTCTTGTCGAAATGGAGTCAACGTCTCAAGTCTCGCGGCCCGTGAAGCCACGAGCGAAACGTGTAGAAAAAGCGTCGTCGCTCAAGAATCGAGCGTGGTGGTGGACAGATGAGGCTGCAAACAGTGACACGGAGCGTACTGTCGCTTCCAGCGAGACGGAACTGCTGAATGCCGCTGTGTTGTGTGCAGCGCTGTCTGCAACGCAGTCGGAGCCGTTAGATGCTGATGGGTCAACGAACGATCGAGCTGTGCATGAGCTGGAGATGCACGTGCGGAAGTCGCTGCTGCCGCACAGTCTGCAGTTTCCAGTGCTGGTGTTCACATCCGACTACGTGGTGATGCAGTCGGAGCTCGCTGTGCTCTGTGCAGTGCGAGCCACAAAACCTGCTGATGTTCTGCAGACAGTGATCGGCTCAGCCGCTCCTTTTTCGCGCCCATATGTCCATCGATTCGGTGGAGCGAGGATCCATGCGCCGTTCTGGAAGCGAACACAGCGTCTTGACTTGCAAGACATACACCAAAAAGCACGACAAGCTAAAAAAATGCTGCTGTTGTGCGGCCACTCTATCGGCGGCAGCATTGCGCAGCTAGCCTTCTGCGAATTGGTGTACCTATATCTTCCCACGAAGACGCGACTGTTATTGGAGAAGCGAGACTACGACGAGCAGAAACGAGAAGAACAAAGTACGAGAACAAGTGAAGCTGTGGACTTCCGACTGATACTACAAAGCATGGAAAAAGAAGAACGCGCGGCGATAACTTGCAGTATGCCGCATGTGTTGGCGATCGGCTTTGGTTCTCCCTATATCGGATCCACGGATTTGTCGGTCTTTTTGGAGGCACTGAAGCTCACCAAGCGAGTAATGACGTTTGTAAATGAGTATGATTGTATCCCGAGCATACTCAACGTTGCGCAGTCAGCGGCGATGGTTGCAAAGACAACTGAGCGCTTCGTCACGATTACAAAAGCGACGAAAGCGCTGGCAAATTTGCTGCCTGTTCAGATGCAACAGCGCTTCGTTAACTTGGCAGCAACCAGCAATACTGGCGTCGTGCCTAATGCAAGTTCAGCATACTTATCGATGACTTTGAATATTCTGCAAAGCACTTTTCGAAAATTTCGCGAATTCAACATAATGAAAGAAATCGATTACCAGTATTGTCCATGTGGGACCTACGTTTTTCTATCAAAGTCCGGAGCCGATTATCACATTTATTCGGATCCAGGCACTATCAGGAAGGCGTTAGGTAAAGAAGAGGACTATGATACCACCTTGACGGGCAATGCTATCTTACAGCACTTGATGAGAGCGTACGTCGATTCCGTCGCACGCCGTTCCAGATCCGTTCAGATTAATGCTTCAATGGATTTTTATGCGCGTCTTGGTGTCCCTCGAAACGCAACAGAGAAACAAATACGAAGTGCTTACAAGCGGCTAGCACTAGAGTGGCATCCTGATCGGTGGGCTAATAGTTCTGTTAGTCCTCAGGAACGGGCCTCTGCAGAGGATATTTTTAAATTGCTAGCAGAATCGTATGAGGTACTGTCCGATGTTGAAGCACGCAAAACATATGACGCACATTTGACCGATTCGCCCAGTCTCAAGGAAGAATTCGTGCGCAATGGCACTGTAAATGGAATGACGCTTGATGAGGCTTTCGCCACTTTCCAAGATGTGATTGATAACCTTTCTGGGGTGGTGTCAAAGGTGACGTCTCGCTTTTCGACGTCAAAATCAACGGTGATAAATCCGCTGCGAATGCCACCATCCGGTAGTAGCAGCCTCAAACCGAACAATCACGACAACATCTTTGCACCAGATCGTATCCGAGTGTCGCGCACAGTAGGAATTGGTGCCGACCAGCATGAGCAAATCCTGTATCTGGAACCAGAGGAAATCATAGCAGGCGATGTTGCAGCTTCTAACCATGCAGCAGGTAGCTCATCAGCTGCAAATTCCGGGCTGCGAACCGTTTCTGTGGTTGGCGGGGCTGTTGCTGTTGGAGCGAGCGTTGCGCTTATCGTGAGTGCTTGGTCGCAGTATTCGGAAATGTCGAAGAAAAGGCGCCAGGCAGCAGCGGTGAGAGCCATGCCCGCTGAATGTTTGTTGTGGCTGTTGGAAGATTACCATGACACGCAGCATCGAGACACGACGCAGCTGCTTCTCGAACAGGCTGGTGATCGGGAGCGAAGAAAAGATGTCATCTCCCTTGATATTTCCGGCTCAAACATAAAAGCAGGTGAGAGCACCGGTAAGCATTATTTTGCCACAGCGCTTGCCACGTTAAATCAAGAGGAAGATGCAGCGGAAAATGAACTTATCGAAGATTTCTTCGATTGTGCTAGCGAGTATGATAGTGTTGCACTGGAGGCAATGGCCGAGGAAGAATTTTTCGATTGCGTTGATCTTATGGATGCAGTCGCGATCCACTTTCGTGATGACACATTTGAAGAAGACGAGTACGCGGATAGTAAACCACGTGAAGATAGCGGAGCCGGTACTGTGGGTGAGCTTGTTGCTTTCCCCTGTGGTTCAATTGTCAATACTCCCTTTGGTCTCGCAACTGTGCAAGATTGGAGGGAACCGGAACTTGCTGCTGTCGTGCGCTTTTCATTCAATGGGCACATATTTGGATACATTCAGAAAGCGAATATCTCACGTGGTGCTTTAGTGGCAAAAGAGGCCGCAATTTCTACCTTACAATCCAAGAGAACGAAGCTCGCGGACCGCGTGATAGCCCGCTACCGTTTGGACAATGGGGAAGCGAGCAGTAACTTAAAGAAGCTAGTTGCTGCAAGTGGTGACGGTGCTTTGGATAGTGGAATTCGTGCAGTTGGTGGTGTAGCATTGGCGAACGGGATGGCAAGGACATCTTCGGCTTTAGGTGGTGTGGCAGCTGCACCGCTTACTATCGCTTCGATTCTTGTCGATATCGGAAAAGAATACTACGACTACCGTAAGCGGTATACTGATAAGAAGTCTTTAGGTGGACTGTCGAAGGTCACTGAGCAACTACTGATGCAAGATTTTCGGCTGAAAACTGGTGAGATCATTGCCAGCCGCACAGCAGCAGCGGCAGGTGCAGGCATAGGTGCATATGGTGTAGCTTCAGCTCTGGGAATGTGGAGCACAGCAGGACTTGCCGGTCCAGTGGGTATTGTGGCTGCAACAAGTGCAGCTGTTGTCGGTGGCATGCTAGGTTTTTTTGCTGGCTCGAAGGCATACTCGGCATCTACCGCAAGGTATTTTACAAGCCAGCAAAATGCAAAGGAACACATTGATCGTCTGGAGCTTGGGGCTCGAATTATGTTCGACGAATTTGATCCTGAAGCCACAGGTACAATCTCCAAAGAAGATTGTACAAAGCTAATGAAAAAGTTGTACGATGCGATGGGCTCGGTTTCGGAAAGCAGTTACGAGCGAACCATGACAGTGGTTCAAGACGATGCATTTGAGGGTCCTGTGACGTGGGGAATGTTCTGGGAGTGGGTAAGCACTGAAGCAGCTCGGGCCCTACGTGAGCTAGAGCATGAAGAGTTGGATCAGTCCAAGGGCGTAGGGGGTGCAACGTGGTGGAACAGCTATTTGACGTATTTCTCATACTTTAACTCGAAGTCAGCTGTGCCGCTGCTTGCAGAACCGCGGGCTTCGGTTTACCGGTCTGTCCTTGCTGCATTTGGGCTATCTGTATCCTCACCAGAGGCTGATGGACCGCGAGCTGATAAATCTGAGGAAGAAAGCCTAGTGTTGAAGGTGCAGATCGAGTTTTTGGTGAACAATGGCCATCTGACTGTTATGGATGCCTTCCAGCTGCGAGAGCAGCTAGTATGCGATGATCCGGTTGTGAGAGAGGCTGCACGGAATACCATTACCGCCCTGAACAAAGGACTGTTGGACAAGGCGTCCGATCAAAACCTAGTGTGCGACGGATTCGGCTTTACAGGTGGTGACGCCATTGATACATTTGTTGACGAGCCTGAGCAAGAGCGGGACTCTACTCGCGCACAAACCTCAAAAATCACCGCCAGAGACCAAGAAAAAAGAAGGAGACACTTGCATGATGAACGGGTTGATGTCATGTGCTCACTGATGTCCACCCAGGGTCTGCAGCGGTTCTTGCAGCGACAAAATATTTTCGTTTCGACTGCAAACGAAGCACCCGTACGCCACGAAGACTTGCACTGTCTAGCGCTAATGGCTACTGACATTACCCTGTCAACGCCAGAAGTATCGACATGAGAGTGTTTCTTGCTGTACAAGTTGAAATGGAAAGTCGTACAAGATCCATGGGTGAGCAATTGCAGCTTTCGGCAACGTGCCGCGGTTGTTTTCAGTGGGTAGTCTATTCGGTTGCAATTGCAAGTGATTAATTGCATGACATAAACGCCATTAAGACATGTCGTCTCTGTTGTAGTTTCTCACTTTTTTGCCTCCACTACCTAGCGCCCCCTGCTTAGAAAATCGAGAGCTTCACCTCCATGGCCTCGTGAATACGGAACGTATTTTCAGGGTGCTCGTCAGGGTCTGGGACACAATTCAAACAACTCAATCCATCAGCACCTCTTCTCTCTTTAAGCACTGCCATGACGTACCGTTCAAAAAGTCCGCGAACTCAATTTGTTCATCGGCGCCTGTGAGTGTATCCAGACCAGCGTGCGAACTCGGTAGACCGGGAAAACGCTACAAAGCACAATCAAATAGTGAGCAGCTTGCTCCTTCAACATGAAAACCAGTACCGACATTGATTGTATGGAAGACCAAAGTCTTCTGCTTACTGTAAACTGCTCGAGCACCGACTTTTCCGTACGCAGTCGCATAGCCGCCGCTTTGCCGTAAATCTGCTCGACTGTCGCCATCTTGAGCTCCCAGTTGGACTGGCGTTGCTGCATCAAACAGGAATAAAAGTATACAGATGCCATTACTGCAGCATTTGGACAAAGACTGCAGTCGCGAGCGTACCGTAGTTTGCAGACGCTGGACTTCGTGCAGCGATCGCACGTCTTCACTGGCGCTGTAGAAGCCGAAGCGGAGGGTGTCAGGTGGCGCACGAACGAGAGGAAGACTGGAAGAGTTCTGATGCAGTCAAATCACAGCACAAAAACACGCAGAAGACACAAGAATGAGTGCTTCGACCACGTCATGGACCGCGCTATTGTTCGTCGCTCGCCTTACCATGTCGGAGCTTCGTCGAGGAGATCCAAGAATGGGAGACCACTGCCGTAAATCAATAAATAGGCTGTATCATAGGCTAAGCTGTACCATAGGTCGGTCTGTCACTGTAGCCACATTTGCCGTCAAAGTCGCAACAATGGCACATGGCACGGACGAGTTTGGTCTTAAGCGATCGGCAGGTGTGGACTACAGCCGAGTGCAGGACCGACAGATTGATGACCAACGGTTCGAGCGTCAGCGTCGCATCCGTGCAGCCTCATCAGCGGTTTGTATCTTTTGTTATTAGCTGTGACGTGAGACGAGCTTACAACACTAACTAGGGACTGACTGACTGACTGTATGAGCAGCCGCCAGCAGTGCAGCAGCCAACTTATGGCGGAGTCGTGCAATCTGCTACTATGGACGCGTTTATGCGCATTGTGACGGGCAAAGAGGAGCGCACGATTGCTGACCGTATCAGTGATCCGAACCGCCCCACGTGGGAGCAGTACAAGAAGGAGAACGCCGACAAACTGGACCTTAACGGCAACGAGGAGAAGGCGATGAAGGAGTATCGGAGAAAGCTGGATGCTGATAGAGAAAAGGCAAGAGGCTGAGAGCGTAGTGGAATGTTTAGTGTGGATAAAACACACTGACTGTGTGGCTGTCGGCAGAGACTGGCTGGAGGCAGCGGTGTCAAGAAGAGGTTGAAGAAACACAGGAAACGTGCACACTCGTCGTCTTCGTCATCCGATGAAGACGCTGATACGGAAGATGAGCGTCGACGCTCGAAACACAAGAGCCGCAAGAAGAGGTGAGTATTCTTCTGGGTGGTCGATTATACTGTGCATTTGACAGTTGCTGACGCTAATGTGTCGCGTAGGAAAAGTCACAAGCGACGAAACAAGTCCTTGGACTTGGACGAGAGCCACTCAGACACGAAGGAAGACAGTCGCTCTCGACGACGTAAGAGCTCCAAGGAAAATCGGAAGATGTTGCGCGAGAAAGAAAACCCAGACGCGTCTTCTTCACCCGTGCGTCTCTCCTCTTTCCTGAAGCGATCAAGCGATAAAATAGACCGTCAGTCTTCATAGACCGTTTAATGTATATCCATTCATAGACTGTAATGCCCTATCGAGTCCTGTTTCTGCCCATTGTTGTTCAGTCGCATTCTACTTTTCGACAGGGGTCGTCGTCGTCGATATCCCGCTTAGAAATGGCCGATACTGAGAGCAGGAAAAGATTCATACAGCTGCTGCGTCAGGGGGTGCAGCACAAGGTCCAGCAGCAGCAACAGGGTAAAATGATCTCGTCCGATTCCAAAGACTTTGACGCTGAGACGAGTGATTTAACGCCACACAGCGTCGACAGAAGTGACAAAGCGGCTGTGTGGCAGACACTCGCGTGGCGTGACGCGTTTTCAATGGCGCCGTATTTTCAAGAGATCGTTGGTGGTAAACCGCTTCGTATCAAGCAAGTGCTGCAAGGAGAGCTCAACGGCTTTGGCACTGGCCTTACCGTGTGGCCTGCCGCTTGTGTGCTCTTGAAGCATCTAGAACACCGGGTGGCGAGCGGTTCACGAGCGTTGGTGGATACGGACAACCCGTTCGTGCTGGAGCTTGGAAGTGGCACTGGTGCTGTGGGCATCGCAGCGGCAATGCTTCTTCAAGCTGGGAGAGTGGTGCTCACGGACATGGACAATGTCCGCTTCATCATGGAGGAAAACGTTTCCTTAGCTCGGCAAGATGGTGTGGTCGGCAAATCCGTTGTTGTTGATGTTGAAGGATACGAGTGGGGGCAACCTCCGTCTCAAAGCCTCATCTCGTCCGCAGCAGAACGCTATCCAGATCTCATCCTTGTGTCGGACTGCATCCTGCCACGCCTTTACCCGATTGAACCACTTGTTGAGGCCTTGAAATTTCTCAGTAGACCACACACCCGCATCCTCATTTCGTACGAACATCGACACTACCTGCACTTCCAGCCCAAGCAGAAATTCTGGAAGCTCATGAAGGCAAGCGGATTTATGCTAAGGGTCATCACCACTGCCGAATATCATCCATTTTACGTCGCCCCGGATATCGAGGTGTGGGAGATCACTTCACCCACACACATGCATGAAGCCATTTAACTATTCAACGGCGTTGACTTTCGTTTTCCGGTAACTCATCGAGCTGCTTGACATGTACCACTCCCTCCACTCAACTGCTACTCAACATAGCAGGCGACATAGCCAAGGTGAATGCAAGACAGCACAGGACTTTACGAGATATACACCCGTCGGTCGACGGCTAGGACACCCCAGTGGCGGTCGATTTGGATTGACTCGGACCCTTTGTCCGTCGATGCAATGAAAGTGGTGAAAGGTTGTTCAACAGCAAAGCCAAGTGTCGTTCACCTTGTCGTCTTGTTCAAGACTTCGCTGCCATCTCTTCTTAGTCTTCATACCCCCAGCTCTAGCAACATGAAATGACAATGTCAAGGTTTAATGTACGTCTTGGGGCACGACGTTAGCAAGTCTTGACTGCATGCACCTCGACTTCCCGATGGAAACTTGCTCGACGTGATGCTTCGGATGCGGCTGTGAGTATAGTAAGAATGCACACATGTTTTCAAGTGTTCACGAGAGCCTTCATTTTAGCAAAAAAAGGATTTGGATCGGTGGGGTGTTTGGCTTTTACTTGACTGATTATATTTGGGAAATGACTAACTTGGCTATTTGCCGCTGTTTCTTACGTGTTGTCATCTTACACATTTGCGCGCATCGTCATTACCTCTGTCATCCATGGTCTTGATGCGCAGTCATTCCGACTCCAGTTCTGTGAATTTGGATCATGTGTGTTATCAATGGCTCCATTCAGGTGCGATGATCCCAGAAGCTCGAATCAAGGCTTGACCTGTAACGCCAACATGATGTTGTGGCAAGCATGTGTGTTTTCGCGGCATCATCGCAACACTCACCCTATATATTACGCCATTATTGATGGAGAAGAATTAGTGACTGACATAGACAATTGAAGACAACACGCGTGAGTAGCTTAGTGAACATATTGGCTGGTCGGTTCGCCGACGCACACAGCTCGATCTCGACCCGGTATTTTTCGACAATGTCACGGATAAAGTATAAAAACGTGCTTTGACACTTTTACTCCACCCTGTTTTTGATGGTCTGTAATACGGGCGGTCAACTCCCTGTGATCCCGTTACACCGTACCCCACCGGACCGACATTACCAAATAACGTCAATCTAGTCATTATAAACGAGGCGATTAATGAACAGTAAACCTCACAGTTGTTCGACGCGGTATATTTGGTAGTACAAACGAGTGTTCGACTTTTCTGGCATCCTCGGCATCGAGGAGGAGGAAGTCACTGATATAGAAATACCGAAACCAAACCCAGCACATGTAACGGGGTGAATCGTTACATAACAATTTATAAGAAATTGTTAATAGAATATAACTATAAGAGTTATATTCTCAGAATATTGTCATAAGGACAAATATTCTGTAGCACTTACGAGTAGTTCCTAATTGGTTGATATAGGCCATTATATCAACCAACGAAGACGCGCCACGACAGACGCACGCAATGAGTGGTGAGCAGATAATCAATTTACACATTTGTATTTAGACATAGTTAGATGAAGATAAATAGTGATTTATTGCAGACATTAACTATTATAAATACAGTTCTACTTTTTACTTTAACCAAGTACTCGCTTCTTCTTACCGTCTTCCTCTGCACGTACGAGTGTACGTGAAGTTACGAGGCACCGCCTTATTCTGTCATCAGAATAAGTAGCTTGTACTGTCACCAGTACAAGCTTCAGGGTGCCCCGTTACACCTGGTAGCACTTCGTAGTCCGTCCAAGGACCACGTTCACATCCAACATGAATATGTTGGATGATGAAGATGACCAAAGCTTTCACGCTACGCGTGACGGCTACTCCCATTTGAGCGATGTCGAATGGGATGCGGTTGAACGAATGGGTTCGACCATGGGCATCCATGCTGTTAGCGTCATGCTAGAGGCTCTCAATAGAGATGCCCAACATGCTACTATCGCCAAGTTCATTCAAAATGAACTTGACGCTGAACGCGAGAAAGTAGCCTTGCTTCACCAACAAGGTTCTCAACAAGCAGAGTTGTTGAGAGAACAAGGTGCTCAACAGTTTGAACTGTTGAGACAGCAGCAGGCTGCTGCTGGCGGGTCGATGCACTCGCGTCGACCCGAGACTTTGAAGATTGACATCTCAAAGTATAGGGGGGTCGAAGAAGACTCCCTCTTGAGATGGTTCGTCGAATTGGATGACGCCATAAGGGCGCGTCGCATCGACGACGGGGATATGCAAGTTGCATTTGCCCAGTCAAATCTGGCAGGACGTGCCAAGACTTGGGCACTGGGGCTCAAGTTGCACGACCCATATGCGTTTGGGTCGTTGGAAGTCTTCAAGTCGCGGCTCAGACAAACGTTTGAACCGCCTAGAGCTGAGTTCAGGGCTCGAACCGAACTCTTGAAGCTCAAACAGGGTAAGCGTGATGTGCACGCTTACGCCCAACATATACGACATCTTACGAGTTGTATAAGTTCCAATCCGGTGGATGAACACACGTTGGTTTCGGTGTTCATGCAGGGTCTTGCGGATGGTCCCGTCAAGACTCACCTGTTCCGGCTTGAACTAGATTCACTAGAACAAGCCATTTCCATTGCGGAGCAGGAAGACTTCAGTCTGAGACAGGCTCGCGCCAGCTCGACATCATATCGTCAACCGAGACGATATGACAACGGAGGTCCAGAGCCGATGGAACTCTGTTATGTAGAGAGCGAGAAGGCTCGCTCTACAGGCTACAAGAAGTTGCAGAGATGCAACAGATGTCAAAAGACAGGACACTACGCTTACGAGTGTAGTGCCCCTCGTCCAGTGTCTCGCGACACTGGGCGTAGTGACCGTCCACCCATGAGAAAGGGGCAGGGACGAGGGTCCGCAGTTGGTGCAAAGACGCAACAACGGGATGGACCGTCAAAAAACGGACAGGATCAGTAGGTGCGGAGCACCCTACTGGTCTAGCAACGTCAAGAGAATTTGTAGGCCTCTTGATGAAAGTTGCTCCCAACACACAAACGTTGTGCGTTGCTGCTCTAGGTAATGAGGTCTCACTCATTACCTTGAAACTCGAAGTGACGAATAAGTTGTCCCTTCGAGCTCTAGTCGATTGTGGGGCGTCCAACAATTTTGTGCGACGCCAATCGCTAGAAGATGGTCACTTTAAATTCAGTGAATGTGACACACCTCCTACGAGGATGACGGTACGTCTTGCGACAGGCGCATCCGTAACCAGTCATGAAGCGTATAGTGAAGATCCACTATACGCTAGAAGATACCCAATATGACGATGACTTTATCGTATTGGATTTGGATGACAAATTTGATGTCATCCTTGGAATACCGTGGCTCAGAAGGTACGAACCACGAGTAAACTGGCAACATCGGACAGTAACGATGCCTGCCGCTTGTTCATCAGATGGCCATCTGATGAACGTTTTGGAGCGTCCACAAGCGTGTGGATGTACTACGAGTGAGTGCGATGGCCTCACTTGTGGTACGGTCGTTAGTACGACTGCACAAAACCTTAGTGTACCAAACGGTTACACTTCGGAGCAAAGTTCCGGCGGCTGTGAGGAAACACAGGCTGCGCCGAAGGTCCACCACTCGAATAAGTCGGGTGGACTGGGACAAAGATGTATCCCTAGCGGGGAACATCTAGAAGAGAAACAATCGATCGCTCAGGTTAAGCGAAACGATAATCCTAGATCGACTGGAGAGTCTTTCGTAGAGGATCTCGCTGTGGTTGCGCAACCCCAGCTAGAGGAAGTAAAGGGAATAAGTCCCAAGATTACAAATACGGCGGAAATAAGTTCCCCGAAACCCGCGGGAATAAGTCCCCGGGAAGACGAAGGAATAAGTCCTTCGAAGCCTGAGGGAATAAGTCCCCAGGAAATGACAGAGACATTGAATGTCATAGTCAATAACGGATCAAGTGTAGGCGCTTATACACTTGATCTGATTGCGCCTCCGAAGTTAACTTCGGAGATCACTCAGTTGCCAACGCTCGAACATAAAAGGTTCTTGCGTGATCTGCGTAGTGGCAAAGTCAAGCAGATCTGCGTACTCGTCGCTGACGACGAGTGTGTAGCCGACATAAGGTCAGCAACAGTATTCACTGAGAACGAGAGACTTCTCAGTAGTTCATCTATGGACGAGAGTGTCCTAGATGAAAAGACACGAGTTGAGCGATATGACTCCCAATCATGGGAATCGCTCAATACAAATCCTCTCTATGAAGATTTGGTTGAATTCAAGGATGTATTCCCTAAAACTGTTCCGTACGAATTACCGAAGGATAAAGGTATTCGACACGAGGTCGAGCTTAAACCAGGCTCGAAGTACTGTGTCATGAAGCAGTGGCCACTGCCTCGTGAACAAGTACTTGCGATCGACAAGTTCTTTGCCGATCGTTTAGCTGCGGGCCATGTGAGAAAAATAAACTTCCCCACATAGCTCTCCGACCTTTTGTGTGCGAAAAGCAACAGGAGGGTGGCGGATTGTGCATGCATTTAACAAGTTGAATGCTGCAACGGTACCGGCTCAGAAGCCGATACCGAGAAATGACGTAATCATTGATGGCATATCAAAGAGTACCATCTTTCGTTCATGGATTTGATGGATGGCTTCTACCAAATCCTTATGCGAGAACGGGATATACCCTATACCGCAATTAGCACGCCTAGCGGCATGCTCTGGGAATGGCTAGTAATGCCACAAGGGCTTAGTGATGCCCCTGCCACGTTCAACAGATGTGTATCACATCTGTTGAGACCAGTACGAGAATTGGCGCCGAGTTATTTCGATGACGTTTTCATCCATTGTCGGGCTATGGATGGAAAGTCGGATGTTGAGGTTCACAGGTACCACGTCCGACAGGTTCTTACAATCATGCGAAAGCATCAACTGTATGCAAACCTCAAGAAGTGTATATTTGCAGCAAGCGAAATACCACTTCTTGGGTGCATCGTTGGTAAGAACGGTGCACGTCCTGATCCCGAAAAGATCAAGGCGATCACCGACT